CCCCAGGCAGATTGCCCAATAAACAAGGTAAGTACAGGTTTATTTGTGCTTTCTTACTAATTGATAGTGACCAGTTGCCTTGTTTTTCACCATCTCAAATATGAGTTTACTTGTGCTTCAAGCCTCAACCCACACCCACTGCCTTCAAGTGGGCTTCAGCTCCCAACAACCCCATACAGAGAGGAGGACTGCCCGGCAGAATTACTGAAGTGGTAAATCTTTCCAGGAGCAGACCATCTCATTCTCCTAAGAAGCAGCCAGTAGGTTCAAACTACCAACCTTTTGCTTAGCAGAACAACCCTTAACCCACTGTGCTGCCTGGGCTCTTTTTTTGTGCTCAGAGATTTATATGCATTTGAAAAGAAGCTTTGTTCTACAGGGAAGTGCTATGACATTGGGAAAGAGACGTTAGCCATGCCTGGTGGCAGAATCCTCGATGTGTAGAGAAATGAAAAACTGCTCACCAGAGATCAGTAAACAAGCACAAGTAAATCTGTGCTTACCTTGCCTATTCGGTAACTTAATATTGATCCCTGGTTCCCTCTTATTAAGCAAGGGAACATTTTCTTCAAACAAAAGCAAGTGTGGAAAGTCCCTGTGTGATGTGATGAATGCAGAGCTGCTCTGGTTGAAGCAGCAAGTCTTCTTACCTTACAGCAGACATGGAACTCTTAAGGCTCTGCTGAGCCTAATCCCATCAGAAAATGCCCCTAATTCTTTCAACAAACGACACCCGGGCTTTCCACAGATTTCCATTCCAGTTAATTTCTAGAACACAAACTAATCTACCTTCCTTTAAAATATCTTTTAAAGCCATGAAAGCAATGACCGTTACTACAGAACAATTCAGTTTATTTATTAGTTTAACAAGTTCTTTATGTCTTCTATAAGTCAGACTGTAAAAATAATGATAGTGAAAAAGACTAGCAAGATCCCTGGAGACAAAGTTAATAAACAAGTGATAAATAATTGTTGGATAATATCGAATTGTGATAAAAGAAATAAGGAAAGCATTTAATAAAAGAAATTAAAGAAATAGCATTTGATGTGATTTTTTGTAATGATTATAAAAATTATACTATTGATTTACTTTATGAATGCCTAGCATCATATCATTAATATACTTGGCTGCTAATAAAAAGATTAGTAGTATCAGCTTATCCAGAGGTGCCTTGGAAAAAACCACAGAGATGTATTTATAAAAATCTGCTTTTGAAAATTCTACACAGCACAGTTCTACTCTGCCACATGGGGTTGCTATGAATTGGAATCTACAGTACTGGGCAGAACTTAATACTTGAAAGAATAATTTCAGTACTTGTTTTCTTTGCATATAAAGATATGACATTGAGTAAAATCATTTTTAAATGGAAAAGGATAAATACAATGTGCTTAACACAGAAAACATTTGTTATGATTGATACTAAACATTGTGGGATTTTTTAACATTTTATTATTATTTGAATAGAAGTTCGCAAAGCAAGTTGGTTTTCCAGTCAACCATTCATACACATTGTCTCGTGATACTGCATTCTCCAGATTCTAGCACTCTCCCCGTCTCCTTCCTATGTTTCGCTTTTCCATTCATCCTTATGTCATCTCTCTTCCTGCTTTCTGAGGTTTATCTCTGGGTGGATGCCATCCTTTTGATCTTTCCTGGTTGATTGTTTTAAGGAGTATGTTCTTTCCTGGTGGGATAAAGATTTAGGCTGTCCATATTTTGGCTGAGGGTTGAGTCGGGGTGGTTTCAGTTCCAGGTTAAAAGGATAACTAAGATCCTTCTTCTCAGGGATTCCACCAATTGCTTATAGACAGTAAGCTTGCTCTCACTTTATGATTTTGGTTTTGGGGTTTTTTTTTTCCCTCCTACGTTTTGCTCCACCTCTACTATGGTCCCTTTCCGAATGGTAAGCAGTGGTAACCTGGCACCATCCAGTTCTGGTCTCAGGGTCAGGTAATGGATGGAGGCTGAAGTTCATTCAATCTTTGACTTTTTAAAAAAATTTGCTTTGGATCATCAGTGCGTGCGGCACGTGGCGCCCCCGCGCGGGGGTCTGAAGCTGGTGACGCCTCCTACACGGGACATTGCTGTAACTGGCACATTATTCGTCAACCGGCTGGGAACCATCACTCAGGGGGCATGACACGAAGGGACAGCACGTACGAAGGTCCAGTGGCCCGAGGAGGTGTGGTCTCTGCACTGGAGGCTCCTTGACACCGGGAAGGCCAAGACACAAAGAGATCACCACAGAATGCCGGGCCTACAAGCACCTACAAGCACTTCCTCCAGACTGCTTCAGAGAGGGGACCCTCCCTCAGAGCTGGCAATATGCATTTAGACTTCTAGCCTCCTAAACATCCATGGGATATTCAGTACTCTTCTCCAACACTATGACTCAAAGGCATCAGTTCTTCTTCTGTCACCCTTACTCATTGTCCAGCTCTTTGATGCATAGCAGATGATTGAGAAGACCAGGAGGGAGCATCTTGGTCTTCAAACTGACATCATTGCTCTTCAGCATTTTGGAGAGATCCCTCACAGCTGACTTAACAGTGCAATTATGGCTCCTGATTTCCTGACTGCTGGTACCAAGGGTGATGTTGATTGTGAATCCGAGTAAGAGGATAATAAAGAATAAGAGAGAAATAAACAGACGAAACCCAACCCCCCAAAAAAAAATTTTGCTTTGTACGAGTCCAGTAGTTGCCACTTAGATGGTCACTTAAAAGCTTATAATAATAGACAGACCTGGGACCTCACAGAGAGACAGGGTAATGTAATGGGTTAGATCTGAAAAGCTGGCAATTTGAATACACCCAGCCACTCTCCCTGGAAGGAAAACAGGTGGTCTTCTCACATAAAGATATACAACCCCAGAAATCGAACCAAAGAAGGCTCTCAGATTGCACTCGGTGGTAGTGGGTTTAGTAGACAGGAGAGAAAAAAGAGCATTAACATAGTCACAATAACTTCTTATCAGAACTAGCTTTTTATGTGAGATTGACCATTTTAAGAACTAGCGGGTCTAGAATAAGTGATTTAACTTCCTGTGAGTCTTCAGCAGGAGTGGTATCCACTTCCTAAACAACACGGCTCTGGAAACTATGAACTTTGATAAATGATGATAGTTACAGAAAGGCTTCAGACTTTTTGTTCATAGGGTCACTATGGAGTCTTGCTCAACTTGATGGCAGTCAACAACAGCATGAGTCATCAGGTGCTGATGACAAAAGAAATCAAGACACCTCAGGTCACAAGGTCCTGATTCTAGGGCTCAGGACTGAGAGCAGGATGGTGTTGCCAAAATGAAGAAAACAAAAATGGCGAACAAACACGAATCCCATCTCTCTCTCTCTCACACACACACATACACCCACACCAGAAAGTGAAGGGCTTTCTAAGATAGAGTTATTTCTGGAAATGACCTCCAAGAGGTTCTCTATCTCTTTTAAGTCTTTTTTCTTCTTTTTTAAAAGAATCTTACTACCTGCGGGCTTGTGTTATACCCACAAAAGAAGCGTGACCTTAAAGCTGAAAGGAGGGGAACCTCTCAAAAACCCCACAACCCAGAATTCGGGATGTGCTTTTTAGCCTTTTATTTGGGTTCTTAAACAGCTGGTCTTTGTGTTTTGCTTATGTGGCTTTGATTGCTGGCCCCTAGGGAGATAACTTATCATCTGTATCTCACGCAGTGCTGAGTGCTCAAGAAATGATAAATAATAATAATGCTCAAAAGAACAGAGTGGACCAACACAGCAAGACAGCAATGCTGTGTAAATAATTAGAGTTTAAAAGCCTAAGTCATTTTGGTCTGGGGGCTGAGATTTTTTACATCAGAATTAATTGCTTTAAAATTCAGTTTGCTTCTAATTTCTTGACACTGTATTAGAAAATGACACTGCAAAAAAAGCTGTTTTGCTTTGCAATTTAAATACCTAACTCTGCAGATCATTACAAAACCTAGTAATTTTAGTAGTTTATGGCTCAGAGTATAAACTTTCCAGGCTCTGTTTTTCATGTGTCTTTTATTTTTGGCAGACACCGCATTTATTTATTGAGAGGGTCAGATATGACATCAAGATTGACACCAACTATAGGCTTATTGCTGTAAAGTAAATGTTGAAAAGAATTTCTCTATTTTTTAAAATATCATTTTCCATTTTGAAGAAAAGATTATGGATAATTTCCAACATACTAAATACAGATGATAATACAATGAACCTCCAGCTTCAGGATTTATCAACATTTTCCTTTTTGAAAATCTGATTTTCCATTTTTAAGAAAAGATTATGGGAAACTTTAAATATGCTGAAAAATACTGACTATCCCACAGGCTGCCAAAAGAACAAATTTTACTAAAATGAACCTCTGTCATCAGCATTTATCAACAATTTGCCAATCTATCTCCCCTGCATTTTATCATAAATTTTTTTAAAGCAAATCCTAGAGACCTAGAGGTCAGAATGTTTCATTCATGTACATGTTTCAAAATAGAGTCTAACTAATGAGGAATATTTTCCCATACTCAAAAGGTCGTTCCAGTACCAATCCCATTGTCAGGGAGGTGATTCTGAATATTGTTGTTGCCGTTATTGTGTGGCATTGA